AAATGTTTTTTGTTTTGCTGTCCATCTGTTTGATGAGACGTGTATCGAGGACCTTCCTTTTTACAAATAAAAAAACCTTCTTTTTTTTTTACCTGGACCAAGTCTGTTTGTTGATGGTGCGATGGCTCTCTGCGGCCGGCAGGGGGCGAGTGTGTGTTGCCGGTGCGACGGCTCTCTGCGGCCGGCAGGGGGCGAGTGTGTGTTGCCGGTGCGACGGCTCTCTGCGGCCGGCAGGGGGCGCTGTAGGACACCTCCTCCCGTGTTTTGTGCCGGTAAACGAGTACTTCCGGGTTCTGGTGTTTACTTCTAGGAGCCGAGCAGCAGTCGGGAACTGCCCTCCTCATGGCAACGACGTTTTCTCTTTTAAAACGACATGTACTTGAGGTGCTAGGATCCACACCGCGCGACGGTAGGCTGCGTCGTCCATAAGCCCGCCGTGCCGTGACGTCACGGCGCGAGCTAGCAGGCGCTAGCGTGCTCGCGCAGGCTAACCGGCTAACGTTAGCCTTCAACGCCAACAACGAAACGTGTGTCAAAATGTGTCGCAACGTGAAAGTTACAATGCTCCTCTCGTGGTTTTAGATGGTGCTGGTTAAAGTAGTGACGTCAGAGTTGTGATTTAATTGTAATTCTTATGGATTACACTTAAAATATGGTGTCTGAACAATAAATAGTGGCGCAGCAGAGCGTATTGTAGCTGGAGCAAGTGGTCATATACGTATGAACAGTTCGGGTACTTAAACCAAACCGTCAACTTGGAAGCAATTTGTGAATGTTTTAAATTAGGAATAAACGTTTAAATCAGAATCACAACCATTTAATGCTGTAGTACGTTGGACACACAAGGAATTCGTCATGGCGGCTGGTGCAAACATTGGTGCTGTGCATGTTGTTGTTGCACTTTGAAGTATTAGTTTGCATTAATAAAGTGTGGACAGTAAAGTGTAACATTATGCATTGTGTACTCCTCAAATCTCCACAGCGGCCCCGGCTGCAGGGCTCCATCATCGGGACCGGCTGATGAAGAGTCCGCCATTGCAACAGCCATGAAGAAGAAAAGCAGACGCGCGAAACCGTCGGCGGCTACGGGACAGCCCGGCGGGACGCGCCCAGCGGGGGGCGTCGGCGAGGACGAGGGGGCGCCCGGACTCCGGGGGCGACCCCGGAGGAGCGTGCCGGACACCACGGACGGTTTGTACCGCGACTCCACCGCCGCGGGGGGGGACAAGAGCGACAACCCTCGGACGCCGCCGGAGAGCAAGTCCAGAGCGCCAGGTGCGTGTCGCAGGGGATCGCACTAAACCCAGGGCGGGGCGGTATGGACCAAAGGTCGTATCGCGGTATGTTTTGGTTGGATATCGATATACGGTATATATCCCGATATTTTCTCCACATTAAAAGGGAAGAAGACCTGAACGTCAAATGTGAAAGCAAAGTCAAAGCCAAATATGACATGTCATTAGTCGTTTAATTGAAACCAGCAATTTCAGTTAAGGAGTTCAATTAAATTAAATAAAAATGAAGAAAATAATAAATTAAATTAAACAATAAACAACTGCTCAGCCGTTCAAATAATAATATGTAAACATAGTGTATAACAGGAGTATTCTTTTTGAAAACAAAACTCCATAAGGTGCACATAAATAAAAAAAATATCAATGCAAAATGGGTCACATTAGCGAGCCGACTTCAGTATACATGTTTGGGAGTTCTTCTCTTGCAAAGTAGTTGCGACTGGGAAGCTCATACCTCGGGTCCATCGTTTTCAGGAGCATCTTGAATCCGACTAGTTCAACAGTTGCAACGGGGACCATGTCTTCAGCAATGTGATAGGACACCGCTTTCGTTATAGTGCACCACGTGTCACTTTTCTTTTCGTAAGGCACACTGCGGGAAAATGAGGTTTGCAGCGAGCTTTGTTTCGGGGGGCTGGAGCTTGTTCGGGGTCGTTTCTGGCATGCGGCTTCTGTGGCGCGCAGGTTTCACACATTCCTCGGGTTGCAGTTTGTGCCGTTGTTATAGGTGGTGAAAAAGATTTGAAGCGCTCTCACCCCTGGCTGTAACCTGTTTATGGGACTCCCTACATATAATGTTATTTTGTTTCTCATCGGATACTTTAAATCCGAACCATTTTTTTTTTTTACGAACCAATTCCTCCTCCGCACGCTGCGCAGACGTTGTTGCTCCATGTTTGTTGGCGTGTGTGTCCCTGCCCCTCCCCCCTCTGCGCGGGAAAGAGGATGGGCGGGGCGAGGGCGAGAAGCAGGGCAGAGAGCTCCGGGTCGGCAGCTTGCTTGCAGAGCGCAAATTGAAATATATCGATGTATGCGAAATTGTCTAATTCCATATCCCATTAAAAAATATATCGATATATTCGTTTATACCGATATATCGCCCAGCCCTGACTAAACCCCCCTTTAATAGCGTGGGGCCTTTTTCTTACCCATCTGTTGCGTGGTGATGCTCTGCCAACGCCACAATCATGTTAGTGCAAATAACTTTGTTTTGAGCACACGTTTGACGTAACGCAAAATTCAATTTGCAGCCATTTTTCTCTGTGAGAATCCACTGATCTGCTCAGAGACCCATCTGAGCTGAGCCGTTGTTTTCCCCCCAGCAGGCAGACTGTCGACGGCCCTCTGTCGCCTCTGCCACGGGAAGTTCTCGCCGCGCAGCCTGCGGCGCGCCTTCGACAAGTGGCCCCAGGACGCCGTCGACGTCGAGTCGGACGCAGCCGCCCGGTCGCCCCTCCTGTTCCACGCAGACTTCCAGCGGCTGGTCGGCGTGCAGTTGGACCGAGATCCCCGCCTGTCAGAGTTCATCTGCAAGAAATGCCACTCCAAGTTCTACAAGTGCCACGGCATCCTGCTCAGGTTTCTGCAGAGAGTCAACCTCCCACCGGTTGGGAAAGAGAACCTGCAAAGCTGGTGAGTCCCAAGTAAGGACCAAACAAAAGAAGGATTCTGGAAGAAAAATTTACAAATGAAAAACAAGAGTTTGTTTCCATTTCAGGAAGAAGTGTCCAGAAGCCTCGATGCACCGCGCCGCAACAAGTAAACAAAAGCGTTGCCGTCTGCTTTTTGCCTCCACAAACCACAAGTTAACTGACGGCGTTACCGTTCTCCTCCCAGCGCCACAGTCCATCACCTCGGACCCCGAGTGCCTCCGCCGCCTGGTGTCCTGGGCCCACCACCACGGCGAGGCCTGCCGCTGCTGCCCCAACCTGAGGGAGGTGCTGCAGGAGCGGTGCCGGGGCTCCGTCAGGGCCGTTTGGGGCTGCGTCGACGGCCACAGCTACGCCATGGGCGCCCGGACGCTCGCCGCGGACCTGTGCGCGGGGGGGATTTCGGAGCAGGACGGTGAAGAAGCGCAACCCAGCGGGGACGGAAGTACGGGCGCTGAGGCTCGGCGCGGTCCGCCTGCACTTCCTGCACAGACGCAGAGCTCGGCGGCGGCGGCGGACTGTACCGACGACACGGAAGGTGACGTCTGATCGCTGAATTCCTTTCTGAGGATCTGTGATGGATGTTTTTCTCGGGGCCGGTTCCTCCGTCGCGGTCGCCACCCAATTGTCTTGTGGTTTCCCCGTCCTTAGACGCCGGCAGCCAGCAGGGGGCGTCTCCTGCTCCGGCGCAGCTGGAGGACCCGGCCGCTGACAGCGATGCGTCAGACAGGTCA